TAAGTTCAAGAGCCTCTTCACCAAAAAGACTGCGTCAACTAAATTGTCTATTACCAAATTTTTTATAATTTGTTTTCTCATAGATACCCTAAAATCTATTTTCAAATTGTTAGCAAGCAACATTAATTCCTCTTTCTTTTAGTTATCAAACCTTTCCAGGTCTGGCGTTTTAAAAAAATTATCGGCATCAAATGCCATTTCGTAGAACTTTGTGGGCTAATTCTAATTCTATATATACAGAAAATGTTGATCTGATATTAACGAGCCCCCAATTTCTGTTACGGCCAGAAATCACCTTTAAATTGTAGCCAACAAAAGACACAAATCAATAATAAAATTTAACAAGATTTATTATACACAAGTTTACAAGACATATTATACAAATTGACATGTCAACTTAACTGTTAAAATATATGTCCGATCCTTTTGTCTTTTCTTGATCCGGAATTCTTTTCTTCACTGTTGCGGGAATCCAAACAGAATATTATGTCCAATAAGTCACAATCTAGTACGATGTAGTTAACGTAAATAAAAGTGTCAATCCAACTGAGAGAACTTCTGAGAATACCAGTTTATTAATGTCTAATACCAAAATCTAACTTTAGTGTCTGTATATACATAGTTGTCACGGAAATCTCTAGAACACTGTAGAAGGGAAACTCCTAGAAAACTTTAGAACGGAAACTTCTAGAATATGGTAGAAGTTTAAATTACACATCGTAGATTATGATCATTCCAGAATTATTATGTAAGTCAAATAGAAAGTTCTAATAATTCCATCACTATCTATGATTGTTACAGTGATTTATAAACTGCACAATTATAATATTATTTTGTAAACAACTATAAGGCCACACAAAACAAATTAGGCCATGATAAAAAGAACATGATAATTACAATATCATAACATAACGCATTTGCATTTTATTGATTGATTGTAATTTCTTTTTTAGAAATTTTCACTTTTCAACTATTTTGCTCGTTTTTTGTTACTTTCCAGGTTTGGTGTATATTTTGTTTAGTGGATTTTATATTTCTGTTTTGTAGTAAGAAGCATTCAAATTGTCGACGGATTCAATTAGTTCAGTGTTTTAGACTATTCTTATTAGGAACTTTTGGTCATATAGCTCCTAACGTTTCTGCGTATTTATACATCCCAGCAATTTGTGTTTAATTTACGGTTTAAAAAGGAAAAATATAGGATGTAAAAAACCATACATCAAAGTAGAATATTTATTAGGACTAAAAGAACAAAATAGGTTGTAATTCTATTCTTTTACTGTTGAACACTCGAAGAATAAAAATTTTAATGATACTTATAAAATCACACATAGAATGAATTTCCCGAAGAAAAACTCTTTAATTAAAAAAGAGCCGACATTTCGCAACAAAGTAAGATAGAGTGCATACTGACTTTTGTTTTTAGAGAGAGACGACTTAAGCAGAGTAAAGATACATTTGAATATTTTGTTGAAGTCTATTGTTGAAGACTTTATGTCGCCATCAAGATGTCTCATGATTATTTAAAGTGACTGCCATTTTAGTTATGCGTGCAGTCAATCATTATCATCAGGCAACTACAATTTCATGCATCTTTTCCAAAAGTGAGTAATTTTTACAAGTGTACAATGTATGCAGTTGGATATTATTTCAGACTAGTTTTATTCTTTTTTCTTTAACATATTGCCAGTAACAATCATACATTTTATATATTTTTACCGTTACACGGAGTTCAGAATAGTTATGGAATCAAATTACAGGCTTTGCAGTTTGGCTGAGAAAATCTGGTTTATAGTTAAATTCTCAGCAAAAATATGAGTTCTGTTAAAAATTAAGCTTGAAATTTGCTCTCGTAAGGAATAGGCGCATGTAATATTTGCTGCTGGATGTGGTATGATCCTAATTAAGGGACAATAACTCCTTGAATAAAAATGAAATCATGCCATCTTACACTCTAATATCGGTCGATGTACTCTCACAATAGACCAACGCGATAAACAATATTAAGACGTGATCTTGCAAAATGCCTAGAGCAAACTGCCAGTGTAAAGAATTTAAATGCTGAAAAAAGAAAACACTTGAGTACTACTCCCAAAAATTAATTTGGGATTGAAAAAGGGCAATTCCTAAACGTATTAGCTTTGTAAATTGTTTCCATACGTTAAAAAGCTAGGCGTAAAATATATTTTTTTTTATAATATTCCTAGTATAGAATCATACTTCCACGAGATTGATTGATTGTTGGTTGCTTAACGTCCAGTGGCAAAAATTTCATGCATGTTCAGGACCAGAACAAATTAACAATGAATACAATAGGTAGATACTGTAATAGAGGCTGTTCGGGATAAAGGTATGGGTATTTGGACTGCCACTGGGAAATGAGGGTAAATTGGATTCAGACATACATTTTGCCTTGCAACAGGCCACCTACGGACTCCTCAAAATAGTTGGTACAAGTGTTCTTAACGTGAAGAGAGCGGGGCGCCCTCTGCTTACGAGGCATCGGATTTAACATCCCTATTCTGACCGGACGTGGCTGCGTACTTGTACATCATACACTGCCACTTTGACAAGGGTTTTACTACCGGTCGGAAGAAGACTTGTAGGGACCATATTTCTATTCACCAGTCACCATTGGGGGGACTACTTCCAAGAGATAATGGAACATCAACATCAAGGAAAGGAAATGTCCCGTTATCATACATAATGGTGTTAAGATTACCATGATAAATTCTAATATATGGTCACTATTAATGTAAGCATGAAATCGGGTGCATAAATTGCATTCGTATATTTTAAAAAATCTGAATTGTTAACAGGATATATCGTCTGTATATCTGCATGTATTTTTAAAACCAATGTTCGTAGAGTCTTACTGACATGAATAAATTCATATATAACAGTAAAGGGATAAATATGCAATAAGAGGGACACAATTAATTCCTATCGTAATACAAATCGCTTAGCGGAATACTTTTGCCCAAAACAAACGTAAATATTATTATCAAGAAAAAATAAATAAAATTAATGTCTTTGATTTATTCTACTCATGTCCAAATAATGGTATTCTGTAAGTCATATCAATTAAAAAAGATACTATGAAACCCTTTTATATTTTAAGATCGATTTATTGAACAGTAAAACTTTCTAAAGTTGTGTGGTTGTGTAGAATGAAAAGTAGAAAAATCATGATTATTAACGGAGACGAACTGCCCTTCAAAATGTTTTCCATTGAAAGGTCTGTTTTATATACGTTGTAGCATCCTTGAAAAAAAGTCAAATCGTACTGAGAGAAGTACCGATTGATTTTATTTATAGATGATATTATGTATCTTAGAGTGAATTAATTAAAAAGTTTGTTAGCGGTGAAATACTAGTACTATTGTCTACGAAATTATAGAGAAGCCATACACCTTTATAAATTATTATTTTACTATCGTTGGAAACATAAACGCAATATATTATTTCAAATGATTTTTTAAGAGTAACTGTGACCTTTTTCTGTTGACGAGGACTTCTATAAACAGAATTTTGATATACAAATGACAATCCTATAGATAATCCACCAGGTAATTGCTAGCGAACATAAGAAAGTATAGAAAGCTTAATATGTTTCGTTTCTTACATAATTGGACTGCCCCTGACTACTTTCGTGATCGAATGCCCTCAATCGTTTGTATATTATGTGATTGTAATTTGAAAAATATAAATAATTAAGTAGTACCCCAATAAAGATTAGATATTACAAAAATGAAACACGTTTTCACTTCTACTACTACTGATGGAACGATTGGTTTATCGTCGCTATCAATGGAATTTTTTTTCTTCAAAATTTAACACTATAAGGAATGGGGATAATCTGGATTGTAAACATTTTTTTTGTCATCTGCTTGAGAATATTTTTTTTCATCAAATTGGGGATCAGAATATTTTTTTTACAAACCAATCATAACCGGAATGTTACCAATTAATAAGGGCTCTGTCGAGTGGCGGGTCGCCCTATTGTGATCAGTCTGTCCGTCCGTCCGTCCGTCCGTCCGTAACAAATTGTGTCCGCTCTATATCTAGAGAACCGTTAAAATTTTATACTTTATACTTGACATGTATATTAACCAACACCAGAGGGTGTGTCATAATGTTTGTACAACTTCCTAGATCAAAGTTCAAGGTCATAAACTTTGGTTTCAGTTGACAACCCCATGTCCTATGGAAAAGATCGTGTCCGCTCTATATCTTGAGAACCGTTATGATTTCAAAGTTTATACTTAACATGTATATTAACCAACACCAGAGGGTGTGTCATAATGTATGTACAACTTCCTAGGCCAAATATAACACTTTAACTAAAAAACATAGAATAAAATCACTCTCAGCAAATAACGGGACTATGTAATAACTTAAAAAAGTGCTTCATATCAGCTTATCCATACACATTTTTTACCACATGCAAACTGATGCTGATCATTGTCATTGATGTTCTTAACATTTGCTGCAGTATTCATCTTTATGTCTTTTTCCATCAATCCATACAACTGGCTTAGTTCTGTTCTCCTGTGAGTAATTAAATGTTTTAATGGCTCCCATCTCAATGATGTCTAGTTATTTGATTATAATCAGCAATAGACAACTATTCAATGACACGAACACCTGAAAAATACATGTGTATATTATTAGTAATCGAAATGTAATGAAAAGTCAATTTAAAAAAGAACGCCGCTTTATTAGAAATTGAACATATTTGCAGTTCAATTTAAATGTTAGATAAAAAAAATGTATATACTTATTGAAATTTTCATTTAGATGGAATTAATTTGAAACACCTCCTCTTTATCGCTTCTAATTATAATTTTTAATACGATTTCTACTGTGCGATAGAAACATGAGAAGGTAGACAACGGTTGAAAAACAATACGCATCATTTTCCTGATCTAATATCTAAAAGTGTTAATGACATCTGAAAACGTTTTAGAGGCGTATTTCACAAAAGAAGTATCGATTTTGTTAATAAGAGATATGTTAGGCAAACAGTCTACTAGAATACGCGAACACCAGGTCGGAAAAGCATGAAAATATTCCGCGTGACCTTCTCATTATTTGTTCTTTTTGTTTGGACTTTATGTGAAATAGTCGTTATAAAAAAACAAAAAGACAAAATATTTAGCGGACATGTGCTGTTTGAGGTATCTATGCCGATGTGGTCAATATGTGCCCAGTTTTGCTCTAGAGTAAAAATGTGCAAATCTATTAACTTTATTGCATGGAACAAAACTTGCCAGATAAACGATGCTGAACCCGGGGGATGTTATGATGAACTTCTTGAGAGTGTTGGAAATAGCTTTGCCGCTGCATCTACTTTTCCAGAGGTAAATAAAATATAGTATTTGTTGAAACCTATGTCAAAATAATCGACCATGTTATTTATTCCACCAAGATCAATGGTGTACAAGTAAAATGATGATTTAGAGGATTTCTTTTGTTCATGATTGGGAATAAAAACAGAGTTATAACTGTCTTTTTATACCGGGGTGACAAGCTCATCGGCATTCTTCGAACGTCATTCGGACAGAGCCTTCCCGAAAACACACACGAAATGTGGATACTTCAAAACATGCATTGCTTATTATTTCTCGTGTCATTTGTGTATTTCTGATACGTTTTATTATGTTATAAATCAAATTGGAGATTTGGTGCAGTTTATGTTGGCCTAATATACAAATATATAAATTAAAAAAAAAAACAACACAAATTGCTTTCTTTAAAAAAGAAAAGCAATACGTGAACCAAGGACCGCTGACTGGTCACCAAAATTGCTGCTGAATTTTTGTTTGCTTTTGAATTGAAATAATTGACTGTAAATAGAATAAGATAATGATGATGTTAAAAGACCTTTATTAAAGTTATGTTATTGTGTGTATTTTCTTGCACAAGTCAGTTGAAAGCAATGTTTGATAGTTGTGAATAGAAAAGTATATATATACAGCTACTATTTTAATATACATTTCGAAGTTCGAATATTTTATTTATTACTTGGGAATGTATATCATTTTTTCATAACCCCTTTGCAAAGACCTGTTTCTAAAAACCGGATGTCTAATGCAAATTGCACAAACCAATCGCATTATAAATTTAGCACTCAGTTTGCTTTATAATCTGGATGCATTGAATTTATCTATCATATCTTCATACTTTGTTTCCTGCATGGATGCCTTCAACAATTCTCAACTCGTTATTGAAGCTGTCTGTACTCATGGTAGATGTTGTATATATAAATTTAAAGTCCAATTTCCATGTGAAGTGAAACCCTGTGGCATGCACAAGAAAGTCTCGTATATTTTTCTTGAGAGTAACACACCAGCTTCATTGGGACCTCTTATAAAGAGACCACACCAGCTTCATTGGGAGCTCTTATATAGAGACTTATTTTGGTCTCATAAAACATCTCAAATTATAAGAATTTCCTGATTTTACTAAAATCAATCCAAATATTCTACAGGAAAACTTGGTTTTGAAGAATATCTTATTTTCAGAACTTTTATGAATACCTGAACATACTCTAAAAAGAGCCAATTTATATAAAAAGATACGAGGATTAAAATATTGTACGCCAGACGTGAGTCAAGACTACAAAGAATCATCAGTGACGCTCGAATAAAAAAGTTAAAAAGGCTAAAGTACGAAGTTAAGTAATCTATTTCAATTTTTTTTGTGGTATCTTTTGCCGTTTGATTACGGACTTTCCGTTTGGAATTTTCCTCTGAGTTTGGTACTTTTGTTATTTTACTTTTACCTTTGGTAGAAAATCCTTAGCATTACGAAAATGTCAAAATTTATAATAGGACAGTAACTCAAAAAAAAGAAAACGAAAGAGAAACAGCTAGAGGTCAGAATACCGTAAGTATAATGATGACCCTGCTTGATAGTCACATGTCAAGCTCTTACTGCCGTTTCCTGAACTTAGATAAGAAAATCGAAAATTCGCATTCACGAGTGAAAATAATATTTATGCATGCACGTGGTATATTTGCGCAAGAAATAGTAAATAGAAAGCATAAGCACTGATACTCTGGATAAGAATACGCATTTGCGTCATCACATATATTAATCTAATAGCTGAATTCGGATGTCAAACTACCTACCTCAAGTATTTTGATTCGTGAACGCAAACCGATAGTGTGCGTGTGAACAGGGGGTGTATAATGTGACTGAATCAAGACGTGCAGGATAGCTGGTCAACAAAATGAATACAATTTTCAAAATCGTACCATAGTACAAATATTTAGTTGTTATGAGGTTGAACTATCAAAACAAACAAACAAAAATAGAATTGAAATGTTATAATAAACATACATTCCTGTTAGTGAATTTTTTCCGAAAATTTAGAATATAATATTAATAAAACCGAAACGTTAGGAATTTACGGATGGACATTTGATTTATCATATCAATATCTTTTTAAAGTCTAACATTCCACTGTATGAATATACTGCTATACAAAATATAAGCAGAGACTTATAAATCCATACTAAAACAGTATACAATAATTAACATTATGAAAGTAATTAAATTTTGTTATGATTATGTAAAATATTAATTACGTTTTTTTGTGATATGCAAGGATTTAAAATCCTTGTGAATTGAAACCATGCAAATATTCTTTCATTCCCGACCGTTTAAAATGTAGATGTGTAGCTAACTTTGGGTACGCATCCCTGCTCATTGTTGCTCAAACGTTGCATATAATTTTCATAAATGTAATGACTGTTCAAACCTATGAGACACAATGCACGTATGTATGACAATTTTAATTATATTCTATTAAGAATAATTTCAGTCTCAGTTTAAACTTAATAATGACTATTCTTTTAGTCTGGTAGTATCTATTAATGAAATTAGATATATTTGACAGAAAAATACTTGGGTTTGATTATCTTTCTGCTTTCCGACCACTGTGTTTATGACCTAAAATAAATATTTTGAACAGAAATATCGTTTTCCTAATTTTCTTCCTGCTATGATTGAAATACAAAATATCAAATAATAAACGTTCAGAAATAGTCAGTTTATTCAGGGACATTATATATCAATAAACTGTTCCCAGAACACAAATATCTTGTGTATATCATTTTGGGGCTTAAGCCTCAAAACTATACAAGCTTCTCCTTATCAAATATGCAAACATTGTTCTTTAATATTATCATAATTCATTCAAGATGAGTAGAAAAAAGAGAATAAAATAGATTTTCTCTTTTTCAAATATAAATCGTTATTTGTATTTAGCAAGGAATTGTAATGTCAGGAAGGCGTAGTAGCATTTGTTTTTTGGTCAATCAACTAATGGGGTAAACCTAAAATAGCATCTCTTCATCGCTTTAAAAGAAAGGAAGAATCGAAATTTATACATGTTATTAGTTGTAATTATCCTTTTAACTACAAAGGGTAACTTTTTTTAAATGAAGATAAGCAGAGAAATAAATATAAATAATGTATTATTTAAAAATCTATCTGACGACTTAAATCGTTTTAAGGCATATTTTAAAAAATACGGAACGTTTTTGAGTGCTTTGTAAAGAACACATTCTACTGAAAAAAAAGGAAAATATCATCGGTAAAAAAAAACAAGACACAATACTGCTTTCTTGGTTGTTAGATTGCATCAAAATTTACCCTTTGACATTCTTATTATTTTTTGTTTTTTTGTTTTTTTGTTTTTTTTTGTTTTTGTTTATAATGTTATAATGTTATATTCAGAATGTACATGTGTTATAGATACATGAAATTCCGGTACCTTATCACGGTCTCGTTAACATTAGTATTACACAGTTCATTATCATGGTTAGTACAGTTAGAACACAATATACAATTTTAAAACAGAATAGTTAAGTTAATAAGTATATTTTCTATATTTATAAGTAAGTATAAGAAGTAACAATTATGTATTGTATACTTTGAGTCGGTTTCTTAAAAAATATTTTTTTAAATAAAAAATGAAAAAAAAAGATAAAAACTAAAAAGTAAAATAACAAAATTACCGAACTCTGATGAAAATTCAAAACGGAAAGTCCGTAATTAAATGGCAAAATCAAAAGCTCAAACACATCAAACGAATGGATACCAAATGAAACCACAGATCTAACATGTCTAATGAATTCTGTATCATAAGCATTCATATAAATAAGCAAAGAATATCTAAATCTGATTAAAATTTCGGAAGATAAATTTATTTTTTCTGCAATCAATTTGGTAATGTTGTCACATTTGCGTTGTTTACATTCATTTATTTCATAATGCTGACAAAACTCATTTTCGAAAATTTCAAATACATCAATTCGTTTTGCTTTCTGTTCTGACATATAATAGACTTTATATGCAGTAAAAAGTAGAATAGTCAGAAAATTATGAATACCATAATAATTTTTATCATTTTTATTTTAGACATTCAAAAGAGTATTTATTGATAAAGTATGATGTCCTATTCTAATTTTATCAAGTAACAATTTCATTTTATCCCAAAACAATACCAGATATTTGCATGTTAAAAAGTAATGTTCATAATCGTCAATTACATTTTATATATGACACAAAAGACTTTTCTCAAGGAGAATAGTGTTAGTTTGGATGGTAATATGTAATGTAGAAATTTATACTTTAGCATTTTCAACTTGTTTTCTTGTAAATGATTGAAAATGAAATAGAGTATTTGTTCTCTTTTGTTTGTTTGGTCAAGAGCAATATGTCTGTCCAATTTTTCAAACCCTATTGCTTTCTCACAATATATGTCAATATGTCAAAAAGGGAAAGATAAATGTCTTTAGAAGACAATTTGTGTATTGGTATCTCTTTACCTTCCCTTATTTGAAAATTAAACTCAGAACTTTTGTTTTAATTGATTCTTCTTAGTTGATGCAACCACTGTTTTGCAATTGCTTTCACTAATTTTGAGTATTCTGAAAGCCAATTAGCATGCGAAGACAGTTTATCTAATATCATATTTTGATTGATTAACCCATTTTCATCAATTATATTATTGAAAAATAAAACTTCACTTTTTAACAATATTAATAGATTCAATCATATCATTCCTAGCATTGTTGAGTTTCTTTTCTTCCAATCGTTGATTATTACTTTTCTAATTTCTCGTATTACCGTTGCAGATTAAGTTTTTTACATTTTTTTTTCATTCCAAAATAAAACGTAAACGCCTTCATGGTTCTGTTTGTTCATCTAATATTTTCACCTTTTTTCTCTATACAACTTCAAATTTTGAGCAATATTCCTTCTGTTTTATTTCTATTTAGTTTAAGGCCAGAATTTCAAATTGATCCAAAAAAATCGATTATATTCGATGTAATTTAAACTGCTTGTTTTGAATTAACAAATATAGTAGTATCATCGGCAAGCAGACTTAACTAAAGAGTATGGGTTTTATTATCTAGCTTAATTTGAAAAACTTTTAATTTTTATCTTGTCTCAATCTACAGGCTTAAATGTCATCAGCAGAAATTCAACCATTATTTAATAAACAGCTCTTTATATCTGTATAAAAAGTGTTTATCCACCTTAGCATAGCCTCATGAAAGCCAAATTACTTTTAAGAATAATATATAAATTCCCGTTCCAAAGATTCAAATGCCTTTGATTGCTCCATCTTTGTTTACTTTTTCTGAATAGTCTATAATGTCTTGAATTTGTCTAATATTGAATGCAATATATAAGTTTTTAACGAACCCATTTTGATCACTGAAATTTTTTATGCAATAATGGTTTTAATCGCTGTGCAAGTGAATATGAAATGATTTTGGTATCTACAAGAGTAATTGGTCTGTAGTTTAACTGGTCATTTAAGTTTAACGGGTCGTTTTTCTTGTAAATTAGGGTAATTAAATATAGTTTTTGAGAATTTGTCAATTCTTATTTCTCATAATATTGATTAAGAACATCTACAGCCAGATATTTTAAATTAGACCAAAAAGTTATTATTATTCAACTATAAATTTAACTGGTAAACCATCAGTACCATTTGTTTTAGTTAGTTTCATTTTAAAGACAGTTTTAGCACATTCTTCTATTGCAAACTTTCCTTCGGTTTCATTCCTGTCGTTTGTGCTAATTAAGTCTACATTTTGTTTTGTATTTTCAATTTAATTTTCAATGCTTTTTAAATCTGGCTTAGTTGAATTATATAAGTTTACATAGTAATCCCATCCCATTTATAAAATTTTACCTTGATCTTAAATAATATCTCCATCACTATTTCTTAAAGCAATAATACATTTCCTTGTATGTCTGGATATAAATTTTTTTATTTCTCATATTTTCGTATTTGTTTATCAAATCATTTATTCTAATTTTGCATGAAACATCTTCAAGTATACTATCCTTTAGTTTAACGTATCACTAAAAAGTTTTCTTTATTTCCGCAACAATGGTTGATTTTAAGCAAAATAGATAAATGGTCTGCATATTGAATTACGGTAGGTCTAATGTCCATTTGAACTACCCTTGGTCTTACATCTTGACTGACTAGAACTAGTTTATTCTGCTGGCGAGTCCATTACTTTTCTCCTCCAGGTATACTGTGATCTTAAAACTCTCCAAATATCTATTATTCTAGTCTTTTGATCACATTTTTCAAACCATTTGTCGTATGTTTTTGTTTTCTGTTATCTTTACCAATACTTTTCATGTCCTTTATAATCCTGTCTTCTTTTTGTTTGAACTTTATGTGAATTTATAGTTATAACAAAACGAAAAGACAAAATAAATTGAGCCCATTGTTGAGAATTTTGCGGGAGTTACGACGTCGCGTTTTACCTATTGTATCTAGGGTTGACATCAGTGCAGGACGTAGCCTTAGCACCTCAGAATATATGAAGTAAACGTTAAACAGTATGGTTGTGTTCTTTCTATATTACGATAGTTGATTTAGCCCCGATATGTATGGTGCCGTGACCAGGATTATATTGAAGATGGAGAAATTAAAGAATATCAGAACTGGAAATAGAAGTGCAGTGACGAGACTTTTCCGAAAAGTCGAGGAGGCGAAGGCAACCACGGACTTTGACAGAGATGAACTTCTTGCAACATACGATAAACTTACACAGAAGAAGAAATTGTTGGAGAAACTTAACGAATAGATATTGGAAGCAACGGATTCAGACGACGTTGAAAGTGAAATAGTAGATACAGATGAGTATTCAAATAATTTTGACAATAAAATTAGACATTTTTGTAATTTCATAAAAATTGGTCAGAACCGTACACCAAGTTCTAATGAAACACAATCTTCATATCAAGTACTCAACGTAGAAAGCCCTCCTTTCCGCCCAGCAAATGTTGACAACCTTCAAAACACAAAAACATTCTACGCTTCATCCGCCGCTCAACCACAGACATGCTACAATGGCTCTGATACAGGTCGTATTGCTCCACAAAATATAGCATCATGTACCCAAGTTATCACTACCGAAGTTTAATGGCAACATTCTATATTGGCAAACGTTTTGGGATTCGTACGAATCTGCTGTACATTTCAATCCTACTTTGACAAACATGGAGAAATTTAATTATCTGAAATCGCAACTAGAAAGCGAGGCATTGAATACGATAACAGGATTTGCGCTTACAAATGGAAATTATTTGGAGGCTATAAATGTGCTCAGTACAAGGAACGGTTCAGACAAACACACAGAATTACGGAAGCCTATTTACAAGCACTTTTAGATATTTCCCAACCACGATACACCTTGGCAAGCTTAAGATTATTTTATGACCGATGTGAAGCCTACGTAAGAGGTTTAGAATCGCTCGGACAACCTGAGACGTCATATGGGACTTTACTGGTACCGATTATTATGAAAAAGTTAGCTAGCGAAATTAGACAGCACTTTTCAAGAGAACACGGACCACCCAGCAAACACAATTACGTCAGTACAACGTAACTTGAAAGTAATTTTTAGTCTCGTTTACGTCACTAACTAACGTTATTTTTACGTAGAAATGGATGGTATCAAATACGTCTTCCTGACGTAATTTTCGACGTCGATTCGACCTATTAATGACCTTGAAATTACGTACTTTACCTAACAATTACAGATGCAGACGTAACAGCGACGTCATAATGACGTATTTTCAGTCAAAAGAAATGACGTCGTACTGTCGTAAAAAGGGAGGGGGTCGATTAGGTGAATCTTTAGTTTCCTGTGTCTGGTCTATTTATGTTGGCAATGGTGTTGTCTTTTTGTCTACGAATTATGGTTTGTGATTGCCCCTTTTTCCGTTCTTTATTTTTGACCATGTAGATGGGACATTCTAGTAAAAGCTTTATGCACTAAGACAGCATGAGATGTTTCCGACAGGCTTTATTCAGAATCAAAATCAGATCAACCTTTAATAATTTAATTTAATTGTTTGATTGAACAAATTTACAAAAATAACGTAATCGTCTATCATTGTTCACTACTCTCAGCATGGGCCTTTCTCCTACACTGAAGCTTGCTATCGTTCCTACACTGAAGCCTGATGTCGCTGTGGAATTTGGCGTTGAATCTGCACATTGAAATAAAAAAAAAATCAGTATTGCTATTTAAATCAGCCTTTCAAAATTCTATAGTTAGGGAAAACTAGATTTATTCAAATTCTACTCCCGGTGAGGCATGTTATGCATAATAGGCTTACTTTGCTGTTGCTTCAATCACATTTCAGACCAAAACATGTAACGTTGTATTGTTGTATTGAAATAAATTGAAATAAAACTATTTCTAAATAAATTGCATTGCACAATTTTATTTTATCTTGTAAATAACGTGATTCATTTCTAAATGCATATTGATATGACATAAAGTAATAGTGTAAAATTTATATATTAGAATTAGACTAAAACATGACCATACCATTTATTCCGCATTCCTCTGCTTAGGATGAGTGCTTCAAGTTCCTCTAATAAATCTTCAAGGTCCACCGTCTTTGATCTAGGGAAATTTCTATCGTGAGATTTGAAATTAATCTAAAATATAATGCATGTATTAAAAATTTATTCACTATATATAAAAGTTAAAAATTTTGCATAACAGCTCTTATATGAATACTGGTTTTGGCTATTTTTTTTATATTTCTTAAACTTTATACTAAATTTATGTCTTTATTGTCAAATGCATGATTAAATGTAAGTCATATAAAAATAGGATATATGATAAAAAAAGATTATGAATTACTTTAACATGTTAAACTTTATCTGGGATATCTTTGTAAATATATATATATATATATATCTTTGATAGCGTTTTACACTAGACTACAGAATTTTTATACATTTTGCTGTATTCTTATGATTTAATACTTTTTGTCTCACTTGGAGGCATTAAAAGATATCAATTATGCAATACCAGTTTATTATATATTTACACATACATCATGTGTATCTCAGCTGCATGTGCGTTTGTCATTGTTTTTTCATAACTATTTCTATATGATCATGCAATAGAGTATAATACATTGTACTTCCAGTTGTTATAGACGTGATATATCAAATAATTATCGTTTCGTTGTATGATTTCGTGTATATTTTGTTGTGTAATTTATATATCATTCAATGTTTTAATATCAAAGAGCACCAAAACTCCATCAAAAAGAGAATAATATTTCATTAATTGTTATTTAAACATAAGTAATACACGGCTAATTATACAAATGTAATAGCATAATTGATTTATAAACATACCCCAGCTTCTTTACATTCTTTTCCGTGTGTATAAAGTTCTGTGTGTTGATAATGCTATTTTGAATTTTATTTATGACCTATTTCCTCTGGCAGGCGCTCCCATTGATATCAAATTCAATGTAATTTAAAACACAGCGCGGTCGAGTGATATAATTGTCAACTATAACAAATCAAATCAGATCAAATCAAATCAAATATTTTATTGTCTTATAAACTTTACAGTTTGTGACCAACATGTATTAACACAATAAACATGTGTTTGTGTATGAATAAAAGGAGAGTTGTTTATTTCAAGATAGAATATTTGCAACGCACAAAAATGTGCATCAGATTAAAATAATTATCAGAGATAATTTATGATATATTAATGAATATCGGATAAACATGCACTGACCACAATTTATCAGTTGAAAGAACATTGTTTTTGAGATGCGCAAAACATTGTGTCGTAGCACACCAAAGTTTAAACAATGAATACAATCAATAAAAACTATATATGTACAGTTATAATGTTAAAATTTGCTCACTAACGACCAAATAGTACGTAAATTTTACTACAAAATAATTACGATACACAATATTAGAAAACGTATTACTTAGGTCAGTGAGACGTCACAAATACAGTATTACTTGCATACGTTGTAATGACGTTTTAATTACGAAATAATTTACGTAAAAAAATACCGTCAGAACAACGTCATTATAACGTATCTGTAAAATTCAATTACGTAAATGTAACGTTTATCATACGCCGATATAAGTAAAAGTTCGACGTTATAAAAACGTCATTACAACGTATTTCCAAAAGCCCATTACGTAAATATTACGTAAAAATACGTTATGTTTTACGTTACCAAACCTCGACGTCACAATGACGTCAAATTAAGGTAACTTCAGCAATAATTTATATACGACCAAATTATTACGTCGTACTTACGTCGTGTGTTTCTTGGGCATCAAGTTGAAATTTGAAGATTTAAGGAAGAGCATACTTAACGAAATTCAAATCATGGAGGCAGGACAAAATACAGGTACTTATCTTGAATCTATAGACCACCAGTTTGCAAACACATCTATAAGTACATTTCACACAGGAAATATTTCACCACAAGGAAAAACAGCACACAACGCGAAGAAAGGCCCCGGAATATTAAGGAGAGACCATGTGTTTTTTGTAAAGACATACATGCGCCAACATACTGTACCAAAGTTAGTGACCATAAAGCCCGCATATCTGTAGTTGAACGAGACAATTTATGCTTTAATTGCTTGAGAATCTTCATGCTAATGAGTGTAAATCAAAAAGAACGTGTAGACACTGTATCAAGAGACACCATTCCAGCTTATGCAATGTAAGTTACCATGGTAACAGGGAAACTGCAAGCAACCCAGATAAACAGAACAATCAAAGTCAGAATCAATCTACAGCTGTCAATATCATTAATAAAAGTGAAAACAAAGATGATACGAAAGTTTTACATTCTTCGACACAGATGCGCACAAATGTGCTACTGAAAACGGCTGTAGCTCCTGTATGGTCAAGTAGTATATGAATGGATACTAATATTTTATTTGATGAAGGTGCACAAAGATCTTTTTTAACAGATGATCTAGCGAAAAAAATGAATTTGAAAACTGAAGGAGTTCAAGTTGTACACCTTTAGGCATTTGGAAAGGACAACAGCAGCACGAGAGAACTACGTAAATACACCGTACACATCAAAACAGAAAATAGGCGTTAATTTCCGATTGAAGTTCTAATTGTACCTACCATAGCAGTCCCACTTCAAAATCACATGCGCTATGTTAACCGAAATATGAATTATCTTAAAGGATTGAGACTCGCTCATACAGTTACCAAAGAAGATTCTTTTGAAATTTCGTTACTTATTGGTGCCGTATATTATTGGGACTTTATCGTAGACGAAGTAATACGAGGAGCTTGGATACTTACTATCAGGACCCTTACAACAAGGTGGTGTACGTTCGGGTACGTCATCCAGCATCTTTAACGTACTGGTTTCGAATAAATCAGAGGATGTTGGCGTAGAAGATATTATAAAGGAACAGACACGTCGCGGATTTATCGAGAGAGTTGAGGAAGTAGAACCGACAGGGAAAAAATTAAAAGATGGACTGATTGATACGTATGTAATGAACTGTTGTGACTTATTATGGACTGTTACGACAATGTTTGATTTTTTTACTTACTTTCAAAAACCTATAATATGATACTATTTCATTGAAAGGAGAACGGAAAATACAGACATTCTGTGATTTGTGTATACGAAATAGACTCATTGTGATTTATTTCAAAGATAACTAATCTGGAAGTTAAATGACTGTGCTAAAGTTTTTAAGTTTAAGTTTTAGATTTGATAGACAGTAATTTTCCTTGGTTTTCAATTTATTGTAATTTAATTTTAATATTTACTTTTCGCGGCCCGGAGAATGTTGAGAATACGGCGGCAGTTACGACGTCGCGTTTTACCTATTTATTTGTATCTAGGGTTGACGTAAGTGCGGGACGTAGCCTTAAAACCTCAGAATATATGAAGTAAACGTTAAACAGTATGGTTGTGTTTTTTTTCTATATTACGATAGTTGATTAATCCCCGATAGCCATCTAGAGTTTTAGGTATCTATACCGATGTGGTAAATTTGGGTCCAGTTTTGCTCTAAAGTACAAGAGTGAAAATCTTTATTGCATAAAACAACACTTACCAGATAAACGATGCTGAACCAGGTTAACGTCTTGTGAGATTTGAAACAGCCTATATTCGTCCATTGGTAATTATATAGTGTAAAAACTTTTCATCCTATAAAAGGACCATAACGTCATACAAATACATTATATTAATGTTTTGACAGAGAAATAGTTTTTAACGCATTGTTTTTACAGTTATTTTTGGTTTTGTTTTTGAATCCCTTTAAGTAAGTTTTAAGTATATGTTTTGCAGAGTTTTATAGTTATATAGTAATAGATATATGGTATTATAAGGTCACCTGGCCCTATGGGCTAAATCAGCCATTGCCATCACTTAGCCACCGTCAACTTTTTCAAAAATTTCCTCTGAAACAACTTTACCAATTAAACCGAACATAAACTAACGGGTCATAAGGGTTACTCGTATGCAGTTGTGTTTTTCTTTTTTGTCAATCAGCCAAGTTGGCCCACATAGGTAAATATAGATCATATGAATAAAATTCATTAATTGTCTATATCTCGAAAACCATAAATCTGACAGGTAATTAATGCACAGAAGATGGATATATTTCGTCTTTTTTCCCACGAAAGCCAACAATATTTCGTTAACACTTTTTTATACTTCACCCTGATGTTTAAAAACAGCAAATATATCACAAGTTGATTACAAATTGATACATGACAGGTCATTAATATGCAAAAGGTAGATATATTTCGTGATACATTCTTTCGAAAGCCTAAAACTATTTCTTTGACATTTTTTTTACTTCACCCTGATGTTGAAAAACAACAAGAACATTACAATATGTACAAAAAAATTATACAGAGTCATTACAAATATAAATTATTTGTAAAGATGAACTACATATCAAGGTCTAAACGATATAACCTGTCAACATGAACTACAGGTCAAGGTCTAAACGATATTTTCTGTAAACTTGAACTACAAGTCAAGGCTTAAATGACATAATCTGTAGAAATGAACTACATGTCAAGGCTTAAACGATATTACCTGTAAACATGAACTACATGTCATGGCCTAAACGATATAAGCTGTAAACATGAATAACATGTCATGGCCTAAACGATATTATCTGTAAACATGAACTACATGTCAAGGCCTTACAGGTATTATTTGTAAACATGAACTACATATCAAGGCTTAAACGATATTATCTGTAAACATGAACTACATGCCAAGGCCTAAACGATATTATCTGTAAACCTGAACTACATGTCAAGGCTTAAATAATTTTATCTGTAAACATGAATCACATGTCATGTCCTAAACGATATTAGCTGTAAACATGAACTATATGTCAAGGCCTTAAATGTATTATTTGTAAACATGAACTACATATCAAGGCTTAAACGATAATATCTGTTAACATGAACTACATGCCAAGGCCTAAACGATATTATCTGTAAACATGAACTACATGTCAAGGCTTAAATGATTTGATCTGTAAACATGAACTACATATCAAGGCTTAAACGATATTATCTGTAAACCTCAACTACATGCGAAGGCCTAAACGATATTATCTGTAAACATGAACTACATGTCAAGGCTTAAATGATTTTATCTGTAAACATGAACTACATGTCAAGGCTTAAACGATATTATCTGTAAACATGAACTACATGCCAAGGCCTAAACGATATTATCTGTAAACATGAACTACATGCCAAGGCCTAAACGATATTATCTGTAAACATGAACTACATGCCAAGGCTTAAATGATTTTATCTGTAAACATGAACTACATATCAAGGCTTTAATAATTTTATCTGTAAACATGAATTACATGTCATGTCCTAAACGATATTAGCTGTAAACATGAACTATATGTCAAGGCCTTAAATGTATTATTTGTAAACATGAACTACATATCAAGGCTTAAACGATAATATCTGTTAACATGAACTACATGCCAAGGCCTAAACGATATTATCTGTAAACATGAACTACATGTCAAGGCTTAAATGATTTGATCTGTAAACATGAACTACATATCAAGGCTTAAACGATATTATCTGTAAACATGAACTACATGCGAAGGCCTAAACGATATTATCTGTAAACATGAACTACATGTCAAGGCTTAAATGATTTTATCTGTAAACATGAACTACATGTCAAGGCTTAAACGATATTATCTGTAAACATGAACTACATGCCAAGGCCTAAACGATATTATCTGTAAACATGAACTACATGCCAAGGCCTAAACGATATTATCTGTAAAAATGAACTACATGCCAAGGCTTAAATGATTTTATCTGTAAACATGAACTACATGTCAAGGCTTAAACGATATTATCTGTAAACATGAACTACATGCGAAGGCCTAAACGATATAATCTGTAAACATGAACTACATGTCAAGGCTTAAATGATTTTATGTGTAAACATAAACTACATGTCAAGGCTTAAATGATTTTATCTGTAAACATGAACTACATGTCAAGGCTTAAACGATATTATCTGTAAACATGAACTACATGCCAAGGCCTAAACGATATTATCTGTAAACATGAACTACATGCCAAGGCCTAAACGATATTATCTGTAAACATGAACTACATGTCAAGGCTTAAATGATTTTATCTGTAAACATGAACTACATGTCAAAGCCTTAACGATATTATCTGTAAACATGAACTACATGTCAAAGCCTTAACGATATTATCTGTAAACATGAACTACATGCCAAGGTCTAAACGATATTATCTGTAAACATGAACTACATGCCAAGGCCTAAACGATATTATCTGTAAACATGAACTACATGCCAAGGCTTAAATGATTTTATCTGTAAACATGAACTACATATCAAGGCTTGAACGATATTATCTGTAAACATGAACTACATGCGAAGGCCTAAACGATATTATCTGTAAACATGAACTACATGTCAAGGCTTAAATGATTTTATGTGTAAACATGAACAACATGTCAAGGCTTAAATGATTGTATCTGTAAACATGACCTACATGTCAAGGCTTAAACGATATTATCTGTAAACATGAACTACATGCCAAGGACTAAACGATATTATCTGTAAACATGAACTACATGCCAAGGCCTAAACGATATTATCTGTAAACATGAACTACATGTCAAGGCTTAAATGATTTTATCTGTAAACATGAACTACATGTCAAAGCCTTAACGATATTATCTGTAAACATGAACTACATGCCAAGGTCTAAACGATATTATCTGTAAACATGAACTACATGCCAAGGCCTGAACGATATAATATGTAAACATGAACTACATTTCATGGCCTAAACGATATTATATGTAAACATGAACTACATGCCAAGGCCTAAACGATATTATATGTAAACATGAACTACATGTCATGGCCTTAATGATATTATCATGATTATCTATAATTTTGAACTACATGTCAAGGCCTAAACGATATTATCTGTAAAGATGAACTACATCAGTACATGTTAAGTCCTAAATGTTATTATCTAGAAGCAGAGGCAGGATAAGTTACACACAATTTACATAAATTTGCTGTTTTATATTTGTTATTATTTGTTGTTTTCCCGTAACAACTAAGAAGTACACGAGGTCCAATTGCAATAATTTCAATTCATTTACGTTTCAACTTTCAGGAACTAGCTGGTCCATGTAAAGGTCATGACTGTAAGCTTAATGAAGTGTGCATGCAAAAGGGTACGGCTTACAAGTGCTTCCCATTGTTTGCAGATATGCATTCGCCTGAAAATAGTAAGTTATCTTAAGACCGTCTGTTTGGGCTGTCTCCACAGCTTGGTCAGTAATTTATACAAGTTTGTTGAAAGTAAAATGATAAAAGTACCGAACTCCAAGGAAAGTTTAAAAAACGGAAAGTCCATTAACAATTGGCAACATGAAATAGTAATTCACATTTAAAATACAACATTTTGCAAGAAAGTGTTCATCGACTGATCGATATTCAATTTAAAAAGAAAAAACATTCGAATAAATATTTGTTATATAATTCAATGGTCCACTTATACCGATCCCTTTTACAAAGAAAGACAGAAAAATACACACACTTTACAGTTATTAAGATATATAATAATCATCTTACCTCAGTGCTATGTGTTGTAATTCTAAATTCAATGAAATTATATTTATAGATTATATGATATAAAGTTTATTCGTTTTGTAAATTTAAAAAATACCGAACAATACTATTTTGTTGCAATATAGTCATACTGGCTGCACGTTGAAGAAGCTATGCAAAAACTTTGTATACGGTCATTCGGTGGCTAGGTGTAATGCCAAATGTATGCGCTTTTCTAGTATATCACCCCCTTTCAGCGGGAATCCAAATAGAGCGGTACAGAAATTATTTCAAAATAAACTTTTGAAGAAAAAAAATCACAAACTGGGTAATAAAATTTCAGCGATCTATAGAATATCTAATCATGATGCAAATAGTCTTAAATTCTGTCATGTATGCTTTTTTGGTATATTGTTCACGCCTGAAACAGAAAAAAAGAAACCGAAAAATGAGGTTTCTGTCCAAGATCTGGACTAATTTGGAGTTTAGTATGACGTCCATTATCACTGAACTAGTATACATATTTGTTTAGGGGCCAGCTGAAGGACGCCTCTGGGTGCGGGAGTTCCTCGCTGCATTGAAGACCCATTGGTGGCCTTCGGCTGTTGTCTGCTCTATGGTCGGGTTGTTGTCTCTTTGACACATTCCCCATTTCCATTCTCAATTTTATTTATTCCTGTAGATTGCATGCCTATGTTGTGGGCATGAACATCAATTTTCTTATTTATAGTGTGAAACAAGAAGACATTGTTTTTTGTCGTTCTGCATTCAAATTCTGTATTTGGTTCGGAGTAATGCAAAATATCGTATTTTTTTGTACTTTTTATGACCTTGCTCTTTAATGGAATGCAGCAGTCGAGGTTACAGGGTTAAACCGCATGATATCAAATAATTATTGATTATTTAATTTTGATTTTTTTTTTGGCCGGTGGGTATCTTACTAGATATCAAAGAATTGATTATTTTCCTCTTCTGATTTTTATTATAGTTTTATGTACTTTTTGTCTCGCCTGAGACGAAAGTCGCGGAAAGCGAGATATAGGGATTGCTTTTCCGGCGACGGTGACGGTTGCGGCGGCGGCTGCAATTACGTCGTCAACAATTGTTAAGTTTTCTGCTTAAGTTAGTTTGATAGGAACTACTTGTGAAAGATCATTGATATTTTGTATGAAGATGCATTACTATCAGTACATATCAGTTTAACTACAATTTTAAGGCCCTGCCCCCTAGGCCATGGTCCAATGACTTTGATTTAATTAGCCATTTTCAATGTTAAGTTTTTTGCTTGAGTTAGTTTGATAGGAAGTACTTGTGATAGATCAATGATATTTTGTATGAAGTTGCATTACTATAAGTACATATCAGTTTGACAACTATTTTGAGGCCCTACCCCATAGGCCATGGTCTAGTGACTTTGAATTAATTAGCCATTTTAAATGTTAAGCTTTGTGCTTAAGTTCGTTTGATAGCAGCTACTTTTGATATATCAATGATATTTTGTATGAAGTTGCATTACTATCAGTACATGTCAGTTTTACGACTATTTTGAGGCCCAAACACCTAGGCCATGGTTCGGTGACTTTCATTTAATTAGCAATTTTCAATGATAAGATTTCTGCTTAAGTTCGTTTGATATGAACTACTTGCGATAGATCAATGATATTTTCTATAAAGTTGCATTACTATCAGTACATGTTACATTTTAGTTTGACGACTATTTTAAGGTCCTGTCCCCTAGGTCATGGTCCAGTGACTTTCAATCAAATACAATTTTCAAGTTTTATAATTAAGTTAGTTTGATAGGAACTACTTACAATATATTTTATTTTCTATAAAGTTACACTGCTGTCTGTACATCTCAGTTTGTCAACAATTTTAAGGCCCTACCCAATAGTTGGTCCAGCGACTTTGAATAAATTAGCAATGTTGCTAGCTGTCCATCAGATTGTCTTTTTCTGAATTTTTTGCCGACAGGCGAAACATATCTCTGTGTCAACAGTTTATTGTTGCCTACTGATCAGTATTAACAATAAAGATTTGAGTTATAAACAAAACAAAAAAAAACCAAAAAACGATTTCAAAGCTAATTAACATTAATGTGCCTTTCACTATAGATTATCAGGAACATGTACTCTTAAAAGAACTCGAAGAGCTTCGATTATGATTACTTAAAATGACATACACAAGCATTTGCTTGAATTAACTTCGGAGAAAAATTAACATTCCGTTTTTTCTGCTCTCCGGACCGTTACACCGATCGCAGTTGGTATGAGAGTTAAAAGGGCATACGATAGAGATACAGGGGAGGTAATGACATTGCTAACATAAAATGTTATTTTTGACGACTTCAAACTGTGACATATCGGGAAAAGATGCATTTTCGACTGATTTTTATCATTCAGACTAATTTAACTTGAATACGAGTTCATGAACCACTCTTTTTAAAAATGACATTTGGCTTGATTATGTATGAAGATTATTTGTGCCAATTTCTATGAAAAAATCACCGATGAATTTTTTTTAAATTAGATGAATATACAGCCAAAAATGCCGTTCTTTGACATGTTTGACTTAAATCATGAAAATGTTTTAAAAATGAATAATTTCCAAAGAATTGTTACACAAATTCAATGCACACTTATGTAGAGAAGATGATCCAAATGCTTTAACAAAAATCCGCTTGTGTTTATCTTTTGAAACAAAAAAGATAAGTATGTCTTTTCAAAGGATAGAATTGTTAAATAAACCGAAATTTCTAGTAAATGTCTAAAATTTCGACCGCATTTACCCCTAAAAGACGCACATGAAGGTATATTTTTATTACATTATTAAAAATTGACTAGGTAAAAAATAGCTTGTTTACAAAAGAGACGATTTTTCATTCCCTATTGTTAATTTTCCCTTTTTAGACGGCGATGTTACTTTGGCTCCATCATACGGTGTTTATATATCCCAACCCGTTCGTTATGCCCGTGTGTGTAGTGATGTCATAGATTTTAACGAACGTTATCAATGCATCACTGAGTTAAGCCATTTCAATTGATATTTTATAGTGTGTCTTTCTACATGTATGTTGAGGTAGGGTGAATGTTGGCGCCTATTAAAACGTTTAAACCCACTGCATGTGTTTGCACCTGTCCTAAGTCAGGAGTCTGATGTTCAGTGGTTGTCATTTGTTGATGTGGTTCATAAGTGTTTCTTGTTTCTCGTTTTTAATATAGATTAGACCATTGGTTTTCCTGTTTGAATGGTTTTACACTAGACATTTTTGGGGCCCTTTATAGCTTGCTGTTCGATGTGAGCCAAGGCTCCGTGTTGAAGGCCGTACTTTGACATTTTTGACCTATAACGGTTTACTTTTACAAATTGTGACTTGGATGGAGAGTTGTCACATTGGCACTCATACCACATCTTCTTATATCTATTTTGTCAAAAATTCACCGTGGGATCAAAACTGTATCGTATGCCCTTAAGCTCAGACGTTATAACGACAAACAACGAAAGACTGACGTCAGCCCAAAGTGAATTCGAATATCGGATAGCCTTCCCGTTGGAACATGTTTCAGTCCTCCGGTGAATATGAATAAGTAAATATAAGATGATAACAGCTTATAGATGAGCAACAAGTGATCATAAATCTGCATAAAATAGAAAAATTACGATTTCATTGAAACGTAAATCAAACATAAATTGTCCACGTCCGGTCTTTTTTTGTGTATGATGTATTCTGCTTGGTATCAATCTTGTGAGTTAATAGATATAAGAAGATGTGGTATGAGTGCCAATGAGACAACTCTCCATCCAAGTCAAAATTTATAAAAGTAAACCATTATAGGTCACAGTACGGTCTTCAACACGGAGCCTTGGCTCACACCGAACAGTAAGCTATAAAGGGCCACAAAAAATAACTAGTGTAAAACCATTCAAACGGGAAAACCAACGGTCTAATCTATATAAAAAACGAGAAACGAGAAACACTTATGAACCACATCAACAAACGACAACTACTGAACATCAGCTTCCTGACTTAGGACAGGTGCAAACAAATGCAGCGGGTTTAAACGTTTTAATGGTACCAAACCTTCACCCTTTTTCTGAAACAATATTGTAACATCACAACATAGAAAGACACACTATAAAAATTCAACTGAAATAGCTTAACTCAATCAAAGGACATATTAACACCATTGAACATACACTGAACAAATAAATTTGACCTATGACACAATGTAAATACAAAATAAATAAACTAAGGGGAGAATAATAAAAGTAACATGTTATATCGGTAAGAAATGTTAAACAATTAAAGAAAAACAAAATGCTCGAACAAAAATACCATTCATTTGCAATAACTTTAAACACAGGTAAATGAAAATAATTTAGTTGTTAGGTATACGTGTACAGTACCAATAGAGAAAGGAAATATTTTTACAAAATAAATAATATTGATACAAAATAAATAAACTAAGGGAAGAATAATAAAAGTAACATGTTATATCGGTAAGAAATGTTAAACAATTAAAGAAAAACACTATGCTCGAACAAAAATACCATCCATTTGCAATAACTTAAAACACAGGTAAATGAAAATAATTTTGTTGTTAGGTAAGCCTTTTTCAACTGATTTTTATAGTTTGTTCTTACTTGTGCCCTTACACCACTGTCCCAGGTCGGGGAAGGGTTGAGCGCTCACAAACATGTTTAACCCCGCCACATTTTTATTTGCCTGTCCCAAGTCATGAGCCTGAAGTTCAGTGCTTGTCATAGGTTTATGTCGGTCATATTTGTTTTTCGTAAATTGTTTTGTTATAAATAAGGCCCCTTAGTTTTCTCAATTTAATTGTTTCATATTTTTCATGTCGGGGTTTGTAACATCCGACTATAGGGTATGGATTTTTCTCATTGTTGAAGGCCGTACGGATGCTATAATTGCTTTCATCCACTTCATTTGAACTTTTGTGGATAGTTGTTTATTATTGGCAATCATGCTACATCTCCTTATTTTTATATTGACATATTCATGTTTGATTCATGTATCAGTACTTTATTTTTACGGAAGGTTCGTTAAAATAGAATTACCTAATATTTCTGTTAAAGAACAATTATCTCAAATAAGTTCTTTATAAATATATCAATAATAATAAAAAATAAAACAACAAATGGAAGAAATAACTATGTCTCTCCCTTTCTTAAGATTTCCAAAAGATATTTGTTGCATGCTCTGGAAATCAACAGTCAGTATTGGACACTTGGAAAGATCCGTGTTTGGGATTGGACATTGGCTTAGGAAACATTGAAAACTCGTGTACCAATCGACACCTCAGAAGTACTATGATTGACAAATGGAATGGATCAATTATTGACCAGGTATACTAGCATATAATTTATAGATACTTTGATTACTTAGAGGTACAAAGCCAGTTTGGTCCGTCACCTTTCACATGGAAATGATACTCGATAAAATTAAGAATGGAAACGGGGAATGTGTCAAAGAGACAACAACCCGACCGAAGAGCAGAAAACACCCCAAGGCCACCAAGAGGTCTTCAACACAGCGAGAACATCCCGCACCTGGAGGCGGGCTTCAGCTACATGGAATAAAACGTATGCTACCAATTTCAATTTAAAAGGTTTCAGCGCATGTGGTACTTGGATGTGAAAGCAAAGGAAACCCGTGCAAAATATTTGATAATGATGAATATTGCTAGTTTGTAACTCAATTTAGTATTTACTTACGCTTTGTTATCATTGAATTTTTAAATGATAGTTATGCGAATATATTGCAATGAATAACCAACAACGCAAAGAAACTATAATACTTCTTTTGAAAATGAATGTTGCTTTATTAGGCAGATATATTATGTATTATATTTGTCAGCTCTAGATATAATGTGGAACATTTACAGTTATCGCTGTACATGACAATGTTCCTTTGCTACAGGAATGGTTTTAAAGAAAGATATTCGTCATTTATTATAAACACGTTTGTTAAAAAGCATATTCGGTTCATTTTTTGTTAGCAGGCTGATCATTAAGAAATCACTTTAAATCATTTAATTCTTTTTAATTACAGTATTTTAAATATTCATACTATGTCATCTCCTTGTTTATTGATTGATATTGTTAAACGTTTGTGGGAATAAATGCATGCAAATTCATGACGAGAACATATCAGACAAAAATCCATTATGCAGGTTCTGCAATTAGGTCATCCGGGAGGTGAGCATAAAAGGAGTATGCTCCGTAAGTGCTATATTTAGCTCGAATATTAAGTCCATTTTTTAGATAATTTTTTTCAAGTTAATGAAAGACATGTAAGAGAATTAATTAGAACTACTTTTTGTCCTGGTATTCTTATGAAACTTTGACATTTATACCCCACATAGACTAAATAGAGAGATTTTGGTGAAAGTTGACAAAATCGTCTTGATTGCAATCACACGAAGGCCTAGGAAACATAGAGTGCAAGCTTCGACAAAGAAAACATTGTTATAGAATTGACCTCGCATTTATTTTTCATAGCTAAACAATCGCAATAATTAATGCACACAGAAAAGTCTGAATTTACAGTAACATGTTCATTTCAGGTGAAAGTTGAGCTGTTCAGAAATGGAAAACTAGCTGTAGAGATTTATTTTGATGGTCGCGGTTCAAAAAGTTCTGATTGGTTCACTAAGAATCGACTACGTTCTAATTCATTCAACGATCTCAATCAAATGTCGGGCTTTAATGTCTTCTCAATGGATGGGTAATTAATCTGAAAAATAAGACAAAACTCGTATTACTTCGATCGATCGATCGATCGATCGAGAGAACAGCAACAAAAACAAGAAATATTTCAAGAAATAAGGACAAAAGTTGACAAAAAGTGTAATGCTGACTTTGGTAATGATTAGAAATATGATTCAAAGATATTTGTAGAAAACCAAACATTTTTCCAATTCTCAATTTATCAATTGATTTTATTAACTTTGACACTTTGACCTCAGATAAAAAGGGAATCTTCTTGACCCGCAGATGCATTATCCACCAAAGGTTAGTAAAAACCCGATTTTGTGGCTATAAATATATTATCCTGAAACGAAACTTCCCCCCAATTGTTAGTTTATTTATAGGCAGACCTTTGACCAACTGATAAAAAATTCAATAGGGCTCGTTATTTCGAAAGATATTTTCAAGCTAAGTTTGATAAACGTTTGGCATATACTGTATATGTACATTTTCACGCATTTCCCGGAAGGTATATTTTTGTGTGAATAAATATTTATTTCTCATGGATGTTCTCCTGGTTTCGCTTTACAAAACGCTACTTGAACTGTGAAACTGTTAATAAAACGACACCAGTGATCCATACAGAAAATCAATTGTGTGCGTCCCAGGTAACTAAGGTGTGTTAGAAGAATTTCATCATCGACATTTTCTCCAACAAGTACAGTGATCTGACGCTTGAATGTCCTCAAGATCTGTAATAAGAACTAGTTTGCTGCCTTCTCATCACCAACTAGAACTATATACACATTTGTTATTAGCTCACTCGGTATCTGATATTTCTCAACTTGACTTTGAATAGATGTCAGCAATTTTCTTTCTGCTTTTATAACTCTTCTAGAATGTTACGCGCTTCTTAAGTACTTTTCCGTTGAACATATCACATGTTGCGTATAAAAGTTAGGGCACAAAAAGTTGAAAGTTCAATGGAAACACCAAATTCTCTTTACAACTGCCGATCTTTAACTATTATTATTCCTCTTGCAGGAGAAAACAAAATAGGACTGTTTACTGTCCCACTAGCAAGTTCTTAATGTATTCATGGACTTTGGCATAGCATTTTGTAAGATGGATAGGCTGTCCGCTTTTTCCTTTTAGAATCAATGGTCACCAAGGTCACTCGTAGAATAAGATACGATCCATATTAACTGAGTGTTCTTTTGAGTTAAATCATTCTTAAAGGTTATCAATTTAGCATTGTAGAAAAATCTTTAAATGTTGTCTGTATCGATACTAATATTAATTCTATTTTTTCTATAGCTTAATAACTAAACAGGTATATCTATCCAGGCATATATACTCACGAGCCTACATCCTGTCGATACTTATTTGTTGGAATTGCACAAGGTATTGCTTTTGTCGGACTGCCCACGATATCTTGACTCTACATTCGTTAGAGGTGTACTGATTGACATTTTAGTCTGGGAGAACACGGTTTATTTATTAGTTTTAATTTTGCTTTGAACTTGCTTTCTTGCATTTAGATAGGTGATTTGTGCCTTTTGTCTTTTTGTAATTTGTATTCCTTGTGATGAGTCAAGCCCTGTTCAACTGTTGTTTGTTATTATGTTGTGTTGCAATCTCCGTACAGCGCTCGTTTCCGTTCCGTTTACTCAGTACACTACACACTACATATTCGGTGTAGTGATACGAAGTAAGCACGAAACGGATGTGAGCTCTGCGGCGGAGATTGTTTGTGTTGTCACATCACTGTCCTAGGTTAGGGGAGTTGAACACGGTTTTAAGCCTGTAATCCTGTAGTTGACGTTAGTTATTGTCTGGCATATTTGTTCAATGATAAATTATAACTAAGGTTGTAGGTTTTTTGCTATTGCCATATTTAAAACGTTTTCATACAGGGGCCTTTTGTGGCTTACTAAACCGTATGGGTTTACTCATTTTTGACGGTCGCCCAATAAGATGTAATTGTTCACATCATTATTTTGTTGTCTTTATTGATGGTTTGCAATCAACATTGTGTTTTTATAATAAATGATTATCAAATTATAGAAAGTTGCAAACATAAATAATCAGAAAAATTACACAATTTGTTTCAGACTTCTAAATGACTCAGTTTTTGTTCACAATACACTTGATTAAAAAAAGGTTAAATATAAGTTTTTCTTTATTTTGTTGATATAGTGACGATACCTATGGTGCACGTCGTTTCTTCATTAGCCACAACTATGGTGGTTGTGATGACGACCGTGCTTGGGTGGCAGTGATTGACACATCTGAATCAAATTACCGTTTTTGTAATTATGATAGGCTACCTGGAAATTCATACCCATACATTTTATATGGCCCCGATCAGCAGCTGACTAAATTTGGAACTGGTAAGTCAGACGATATTATCTTATATCAAAAACTAGATAACTTAAATCATATTTTTAGTATAATATGGAAGTGTGCTTTTCACTTGTTCCGTTGATTGATAGCGTTGGATTTTGTCAGTTGTTAAGGACTTCCCCTTTTTGAATTGGCCTTTGAGTTCGGTAATTTTGTTTTACTTTTTAAAATTCATCGATGCATTGCTGAAGTTCCAACAGTTTGCATTCGTTATTTGTACAATAGTGTTAACCAGTTCTAAGATATTTTTTTATATAATGGAGGACATTTGCATGGTTAAGGAACATTTAATAATAGGCAACACCAAAATCACATTTTGATCAGGATCGGTATAATTATATTCAACCCTTGATTATCGGTCAATTGATTGATTGATTGATTGTTGTTGTTTAACGCCATTGTCAGCACTATTGGCTATATCAAGCAATATTTGCATGAGATGCTTACCATACAGAAAACCTGGTCAACTCCGTTTAAAGTTATACATACTAAGAGAATTTTGCCTTGTCGACACAATTGTTCATATTTCGTTCGGGAAAATGTTGAACAGGATATCCTTTACCTGTAGACGCACTTAGTTTTAACCGTTTGTTCAAGCGATCCTCATTGTAGAGACAACTTTCGAGTTCGTTGCATTTCCACGAAAAACTTTGCTTTTAGTGAACATCATTCGTGCAGGGATACAGGCGATCCCCTCTATCTGGTTAATGGCGTCACCAAGGCGCACAAAATTGACGAACTTTTCCGGTGAAGGACATAACTCAAAAGATGTCTATTCATGCGTATCCAATAATCCAACTTGGCCTTAGCAGAATTTGAAGTGGCATACGTATAATTATTACAGATTCTCGCGTATTATGGTCCTACGTATAATGTTAGTCTCATTCACTGTAAAAATTGTGTTTAGGGCCTAAACACTTTTCTAAGCACATTCAATGTTAACGAATTGGTTACATGTTTAGGAAAGTGCTTACAGTTTAAACGTGTTTGTCCTTGAAGTGCGTAGTCTGATGACATGTTTAGGTTATATGTGTTTAGAATGTAAAGTATTCACTACATACCTTTTCTCAATGCAAATCATATATATTCATATGGTTTCCATGATTTTTTGATCTGTAGCTTTAGCTGTTAAAACACTGGTTGACACTGAATTCTCCTGTTTAGGTTGTACGTGAAGTTCATTTGTATTTAACTGAAACTTTCGTTTTGCTTTAGTACATTTGTTTTACTGAAATTCGAAT